AGGCCCTGCCCGCGACGCCGTCGTGAGCTGCCACGTAGCCCCCATCCCCGCTCCGGCACCTGGGCCGCCTTCACCGCGACTTCACGGCTGCGCGTCTGCCCCGAAGGACCCAGGTGGAAGGTTCCGGGGGAACCCACGCGCCCTCATTAGGGGATTGTCATGGTTTTAATGACGGGCAGTTACGTGGGGGTCTGACGGCATTGCTCAGACATGATTTCCAAGGAGATGCTGCCCTATCCGGCGGGGTAAAGGCAGCGCGAGAGTGCAGAGCTGTGTAAATGCACGTCGGTGACTTTCCGTGTGGGTCAGTAACAGGTTCCTCGCCTTCTGTGTTTCAGTACTTGGCCTCGGCCATGGGAACAAGCTGCTCACCGATCTGTACAACTGCCACCTGACCAGGGTAGGTGATGGCTCTGAACGGCCTCGGGACGTCCGAGCACAACCTGCTCCATTCCTGCCGCGGAACCCCAGGCCGGGCTGGTGACAGCGATTCTGCGTTTGGGTCTCAAACCCACCGGTGCTCTTGAGAGCTTTTCAGGGTCCAGAATTCATCCTGCACGTGACCGTGTGAGCAGAAGGTGCTGCTGTCTTTTGGTGCAACATGGTCATAGCCTGCCCCTCCTGGCAGCTGCACCGCAGGGTATTGCTACTCGGTGGTTTGTTTGGAGTATTTCTTTGATAAATTGCACTCTTTGCCCTTCTCCAAGGTTTACACTGTCGGTGGGCTGTTTGGTAAAGCCACTGATGACTTCTCAGACACAGGGAAGCTAGTAGAGAAGACAACATTTGGTAAGAAACTGAATTGATGTGGATTTTTTTTTTAAAAAGCAAAACAAAACTGGAACACTAAACGGGCAGCATGCTAACTGTAAAGCATTAACCAGTTAAATCACACAAAGATAAAAGGTACGCCTGAAACGCTTTCCAGTCGTTATTTTTAGATGCAGACCACGCGCAGTCCTGACAGCGCAGTCCTGACAGCGCAGTCCTGTGCTAAATACAACCACAGTGTATGGAAAGCCCGTACGAGTCCCGATCACGGTGGTTGCTGCTGGGTTGGGTGGGACCCAGCTCTCTCCGTAAATCATACCTAGAGAGAGTGGCTGGAAGCTTTCATTGAATGAACCTCTTCAAACACCGCATAGGAGAAACTGGAGCAAACATCCTGAAATCAATTAAGCAAAATGATTCTTCCCTTCGTCACCCAGCGCCGTGCATTACTGTGGAACAGCGAGAAGCGATTCTGCGCTGCTAAAGCCACCTCTCGGCAGTTGTCGTCGGCCCATTTCACTGTGACTGCCTGCCAAGGGACAGCAATACCCTGACGGCACGCTTCAGGCTGCTGTCTCTTCCCAGTTTCTGGATGGATAATTGAGGCTTTGTTTCTACCTTAATATTTGCAGATCATATCACAAGGGACAAGCTAGAACGGATTCTTGCTGTCATTCAAGGAACAAATCACAAGGCGCTGCTGATGTACGTATCCAGTGGGGAGATGCAGCTGACCTGATCCAACTGCCATTTGCCGGTCTTTGAAACAAATGAGATGATTTTGTTTGCCATAATCAAAGTCTTTAAAGGTTGGAGTGCTAGACAGGAACAGAGAGAAGTTCCTCTGAGTGCTCGGTACTCTGGTGAGAGGTTGCAGTTCAGTGTCCTTTTTGTATCCTGAAACCCCCAGCTATTTTAGGAGCTATTAGCTACGTTAGGGCCTACAAAAATATCTTGTAGACGTGACCAAGTGCCTCCCTCGCAAACTGCTATGCTACTGACAGTACACATATTAAAACACACATTAAAATGTATGCAAAGACTCAGCACACAGGCAATTTTAAGAATAAAAATTGCAGCTCTGCTTTATTGAGGTGGAGGGATTTTGAATCCCATTGAAGAGAAGTACAAAGCGTCTGCTCCCTTTTTTCCTTTTCCAGGTATTCCAACATAGACATGAAAACACAAGAGGCGTACGAGCTGGCTGTCAAAGGGCTGATTCGCCCCATGGGAAAAAGCCCTCCGATAATCACAGCAGTCCGATGCCTCCAGTTTGCTCTTCCAGAATTCCAGCTAGGTAGGACTGGTGCAAAACGTACGGTGGATGTCTGGGTATATATTATGGCAAATGAGTCGGTAAACTTCAGTTTCTTATTTGTGATCTAATGCAAAATGAATTGGTGGGAACCTTGTATCAACACATAACCAGTAATCTCTGCAGACAGTTTAATGTTTCATAGTTTCCAAAGTCACAAAACATCTCCTCGTGAGATGAGTGCTTCAGTGCGGTGGAGAGATTTTATTTTTTTTTTGGTAGGGCAAGATTTGGAACCCTCAGAATACCGAAGCTGCTTTACAAATCAAGCCAGCTGTGCACCTAGCTCACAAGTTTTACTATGCCAGTTCCAGATCTTAGGCTGAAGCAAGAAAATTTGCCCTATGGGGCAAAATTCTTTCTTAGCCCACTGTTTCAGTGTAATGCAGTTCATGTTTTTTTTTAAAGAATAGTTTGCTTTCCTGCAGATTACTTGTCTTACTAAAAAGGTACCGTTTCTTACCCGCTTTGATATACCTAAATTTCTGCATTACTCTCCTATATCTATGGGTTTGTTTTCTAAAACAC